AGCAACTTGTACCTCATGTAGTTGATGATCGTCATCCTTTGTCTCGCCATCTTCTGGTTCATCCTCGTCTACCTCGCCTTCCTCTCTTACTCTTTCGACGTCGGGTAGTTTGACTTCGGGCACCTTAACCTCAGGCACCTCATTTACTTCATCGTCAGGCATTTGACCACCTTCCGCTAGCTCGCCTTCTTCTCTTTCGTTTTCTTCCTCGTCTTTCTCCTCCCTGTTATCACCTTCTACCTTGGCTTCCAGGCCTTCCTCTTTCACTTCGCCTTCTTTAACATCAACATCGGCCTCGGCTTCGCCTTGATCGGCTTCGCCTTGATCGTCCTTTATTTCACCCATTTGCATCTTCTCTTCGGCTTCGTCTGCGTGGTCATTGATGTGGTCGTGAACGGTCTTGTCTTCGTCGTATTTCTCGTCAGTGTCTTCGATTTCATTTATGGTCTTAAGAGGTTGTGGTGACAAGTGTTCCTCAGTGTTGGTGGGAGTAGGGCTAAAAGCGCTGTCAAGCTCATCCATAGGATGCTTCACCAGTGTTTCGGGCTCGGGTACATTCTTCTGGTACTGAGCTCTCTCTGGCTTCCGCGATCCCTTCCTTGAGCCTTTTCTCGATATCTTTCTTGCCATCGTAAAATGTGCAATTGTGTAATTGTGCACACACTTTCAGACAGTGCCGACGTGCCCTCACACATTATCGCCGACACAGTAAAACCGACAAAGCTGAAAGGTCACACGCTTCTGTCCTCTTCACCTCGGCAAATATCGTATCATTTTGATGCCATGCATAGTCCGTCAGCGAGCAAACACAAAGAACAATCGCCTACTCTCGTTAGCTGCTCACTTCGAACAGGTAGTCAGCTGGCATATGCACCGCCCACCGAGTCAGCTCGTTATCGTCTTGCGCTCGTTGAACATGCTTTAGTTCAGCAAACATCCATCTGGGGCAGTTGTCTTCTTGTGTGTTCTAGGAGCGTCCGAGGGTGTAGGTCAGAATGACCGGCACATCACGGTCTGGGACCAGAGCTGAATAAAGTTGCGCACAATTGCGGGATCTGGGGTGAGGGGGTCAGGCCGGGAGCGTTTCAAAATTCGTGTGATGAGGGGTGACGTTTCAAGACGGTCAGGGAGAGCGCGGTCGAACGTGGTTCTCGCAGGTTTCTTTGATAATCATGGTGGGTTGTCTACTACACATGGGTGCAGCTTTTACCGTATCAAGGTAACGTTGCCAGAAGAGTTGGCCCAGAAGGAAGAAGAGAAGGTCGAATTGATAGTCGCTTCAAAGAAGGGCGGAGTAGCTGGTCCTTTCTTCAAACTCTTTGAGGATCCCAACAAGCTGCAACTTGCCGCGGAGTCAGAACTGAATCAAACTGTTGATAATGTGGTGCTGGACCGGTTCGTACATTTTCTTTCCCGCAGAATATCTTACTTCTACGAAAGTAGGATTGATCCGAAACTACTATCTCGTCTGGAGGCGGAATTAGCTGGACCGTATCCTTTGCAACCAAGGGGGAGCACCACGGGTCGTACCAGCATAGAGAAAAACAGCATGGTCTATGTTGAAACCTGCGAGAGGGTTTCGGAACATACTTTCTGGGTCAGTAGGCGGGTCTGGGACCTCATGCACCCAGAGGACGACACGCAAGATGACGAAGAAGAAGACCAGGCTCTGCTGAGCCGGTTCGGCAAGGAACTGTCTTCCAAGGTCCGGCCGGTCGTGTCTTCGGTGACTCATGCGGTCCGGCCGGCCGTGTCTTCGGTGACTCATGCGGTCCGGCCTGCCGTGTCTTCGGTGACTCATGCGGTCCGGCCGGCCGTGTCTTCGATGACTAGAGCGGTTCGGCCGGTCGTGTCTTCGGTGACTCATGCGGTCCGGCCGGTCGTGTCTTTAGTGACTGATGCGGTCCGGCACCCGGCGCTAGACCCCGTGACTAAGCGCCTTTCTGATGCAAAGGCCTTTTTACAGCAAGTAGCCGGCACGAGATCCTCCAGTCGCAACCGCCCTGGCCCGTCAACCGCCGTATGACCCTCTGGGTCCGTAGTCTTTGCGAGGCGGCCTTGTTCCCTCGACTTTCATCTGTTTCTTCAACCTTCATTCTTCTAGCCGTACCCTCTCCTGCCCAGACAAAGAAAGCTCTGGGTCAACTCTACGTTGTGTGTGGCACCCCTAAAAGACTAGTCTTTCTGTTTTGTTCGCAAACACAAAAGGTCACTCAAAAACGCGCACGCAAACTGGCATAAAGTCCACTGTCTACTTGGAGGACACCAGCCCCCCAGACCGACTCACCACAAGCCGGTAGTCACCATCGAAAAATGTTCGACGCTTGCGGTGACGATGCGCACCGGAAAGATGTTGGAACTGTCGGTGGGGTCGGTCGTCGTCGTCGAACTGTCGGTGGGATCGGTCGTCGTCGCCCAACTGTCGGTGGGGTCGGTCGTCATCGCCCAACTATCGGTGGGGTCGGTCATCGGGGGTCGGTCATCGGGGGTCGGCCTGGAGCTGAGCAATGGAAGACTCAAAAAAGGAGTAAGTTTCTGTATAAAGGGCTGCGTTGTGTCCTCGCACACTGAGATGAAATTGCGGTCCGACCGGCCCTGCCGTTAGCTTTTTAGGGGTTGAGGAACGTTTTACGGACTCGTAATCTATTCAGCCTGCAAACCCGAATTCAACTCAGCTGGCGGTATCGGCAGGGATTTGTCGGGTTGTCTGAAGTTACGGAGCAGTGTTACCCGAAGCCCCCCCCCAGGGAGGGATGCTGAATGCTTCCCTGGGAGAAGAGCTGGTGTTAGGCCAGGCTGCGGCGGAGTGAGTGGAGTCAAGTGTACTGCTTGCTGCCGCGCACCGAGTCCCTGAGAGACTGACCGGCCCCGATAGTATTGTGAGTGTCCGGCGTGAACTTGTGCCGCCGGCCGCCGGCCGCATGCCAGTAAGGAGCCCGACCGATGACGAAGAGAGTGCCGAAGACTCTCGGAGGCGCAGATGACGACGAGGTCAATGCGGAGTACGCGGGGAGTAGCTGTCGAGGCTGTC